ATATATATATATATATAATAATAATATATATATATATATATATATATATGTGTGTGTGTGTGTGTGTGTGTATGTATATGTATGTATGTATATATATATATAAGTATAAATATATATATATATATATGGTGTGCGCGCGCGTGTGTGTGTTTGTGTCTACATGTGTGACTGTGTGTATATTCATTTATCGTTAGTTTTAAATAATCTTGCTGTTGTGGTAATTGTTCATGCCAATAAAGAACGCCCTACAATACTATTCAGGTGAGCTGTGCAAATAATAATTCGCCCTGTGGGGTTGCAAGCTGTGGCGTCGACGTCATTCTGAGGTAGAATTGAATACAACTGTACTTAAGTCCAGAATGGCGGTATCTATAAATAACCGTTCCATTTACAATGACCCCATTTGTTGCCCTGACGTCAATTATGTCGGGGTAAAATTGTTTTTCATGTAATATAGACATGAGTGAAGTTGTCACTATAATCACACAGGGACGAACATACGCAAATAAGGTATCACTAACACTGACAGTATGAAATGATGCACGTACCATGGGAGTATTGTGAACTCGACTCTCCGCGTGGTAGGGGTTTCCGGTCTGCTGCATTAATCAACACCGGTTAACTATTTGTATTTATAAGTAATGGATATGTGTAAGAGTGCGTTGACGCTTTCTGGAGGCTATTGGCATATTCAGATTACGTGTGCATTATCGGTCGCTATTCGGTTCACACATCTGTCCAGCTCAAGCTGTGTCCAGGGAAAAGTGCTAGACTGCGCTCGCCAATCAAGATCCACTAGCCACCGCAGAAACCCAAAGATTCAAAAAAGACAATTGCACCCATTTCAATATCTGGACCATTTCTACGATACTTCGGGAGTGCACTTAGAATACTCGACCGAAAATCACGGACCAGCAGAGTACATCTATATACAATCCACTACAAATTTAGGGCCATGGGGTCCAATTTTTGGTATAGTTGGTTTTGCCCTGAATTCCAAAATTGACACGACAGTGATATAAAAAACCGCGCAGAGCTGTGGACTGTGGCGGGTAAAACAATATTCGTCACAGTCGCAATACCTACAGAAACTGAAAATGCTAAAATATATTCTTTGCTATACGTTTTCATGATTTACACGATTCATATCGTACCGGTCTACTATTTAAAAAAAGCGCTGAAAGCGAAAACGTACTCCAAAGTAGTACATAAAATCTGAATCCGAAATATAAGTGCCGGGAATTTAAGGAGGTCACAACTTTGGGGTCTCGAAGAAGTTCAACCGGTGCCCTCAGTACATACCGAACTGCTGATGAATATTACGTTTTTTCGAAAAGGCGTAAATCTATTCTTTCAGGCAAAACATAGCCATGGGAAGCCAAGTGACTCCATTTACGTACTCTCTGTTTTCCTTGCCGACAACCCAGAGAGTTTATATACCACCGGCCTACCACATATCAGGAGCCAGCCTATAAACGCCCTATACAGTGTGGAATAGACTTGCCGTCCGCAAACATCGCAAACCTCGCCGACAGTCTCCGGCGGTGCAATAGCCTTCGCAAGACCAAGCACACCCTTCTTGACGCAGGACTCACGGGAGCTCAGGGTTCGGCTAGTAATAAATAAATAAAACTAAAATAGACTCCAGTCAGGTGCAACGGGAAAGCCATCATCGCCGACAGTTATTATTATGTGAATCTACACAATACGGCGCCACCATAACTATACAAGGTACATGCCATCAATAGCAGTGAGTGGCGTTGTTCTCTGCACTGGCTATGGAGGGTACCGGGAGCGATCCACCTCGCAAGCGGGAGAGGTCGGACTTCTCGCACATGCCCCCCTCCAAACGCGCGTTGATGATGTCGCAGAGTGGTAGTTCTAATTCTCCTAAGCGTAGCTCACCTACAGCATCGAAGAAGAACGCAAAGAATTCAACCAGCACAAACACGGCAGAAAAGAGAGATGTAAATCACGAGGTTAAAAGTGAAAGTGGTGCACCTGGTGTTAAGCGCGAAGACAGAGTCAAGCTGAGTAGTAGGTCGGTGACTGGACTGGAAGATATGCCCCAGGACGCCACCCCAGAGGAACCAGAAGAATGGGCGGGCATAGACATCGGCACACACAAGAAAAAGCAACTGGTATTAAAGATCGGATTCCAGAAAACTGAGTTACAGGCAGCGGAGACACGGTACAAGATGCAGGTCAAGAAGGTAGTTGATTCAACCTTCGTGTGTGATGGCGGTGCAATAGTTTGACTTGCTTTACGTTGCCGCAATGATAGGATGATACCATCGATGAATTCAGCTATACAGCATTGGTACAATCCGGCTTTTACAATAACTATATGTAGTTCGGTTTTTTACACTGCATGTGATCAGTTTTATTCACGTGATCAGTTTTATACACTCGCTCCGAATCTTCTGAGTTTCGCATATAGGTGAACAGGCGATACACCGTGAATTGCAGTGGGCTGCCGCAGCACTAGTCGTAAATGCGCTTGTGGACAATCAGTCAAGTGCACCAGTATACGAACCGTGTGTTCGCATCGATTTGGTTGGTTGGTGGCTCACTCTGTGTGTTTACGTTTAACTATATCCAATGAATCATCTGCTGACGAGGGGCGACTATAACGAATACTCAATACGAAGTTCTCAATTAATTCGCCTCGGCCATTACATGTGGTTACAAATACGATGTAAGTGTTTAGTAGAGTGCTGATCATGTTGGTACTTGAATCGGATGGATTTATTTCACCCACAGGTGAACCGTTTAGAACACGCCGTGGGGGTGATTGAAGGCCACTGGGAATCCTTGAGCATGGACCTGTTAGCGCAATACGCAAAAATCAATCCTAAGGCCACGCCTGAAGACCTGGAGCCAGACAAGTATTCCAACGCCGTCAGCAAGTACATTGGCGAGCTCAAGCTGCATGAAGGCACAGACAATATGCGAGAGGACGTGTTGCTTGGTAAGCGAGTGGTCTATGTCAGATGCGATGGTACCTGTATTCAGTGTATGAGCGCGTGTTGTTGTTGGTATAGTTTTGCTGCATAATAGTGTTGCCGTCAATGGTGTTTGGAATGTGTATGGATTCGTGTAGCTAACCAATGTGTTATATATATATATATATAGTATTCGGTGTTTCATCGGTGCTTGTTGGTATAAGAGCTTGCACTGACAGCTTCTACGTCTAAGGAGTAATGACACGTCTCCACAATGTGCGAAAGAACATCGAATGCAACCAGCGGGACACGGAACCTATTATACATTCCGATGACATGCACATATACACACAACACGGCGGATGAGAAACTACTGCACACTACTTCACAAGGCGGAGTGAGCGATACTGGCAACAAATGCACACAGCGGTGTGTGTCGCATTCACCTGACTGTGTTAGCTTGGCCGAGAAGAGCAGCACGCAACGGTCTTGGGCACATCTCTAGCCGATGTTGGCATAGTAATGAGACAACAACGGCGCATACGCCACCCCGAGGTGACATACTACTTACGTGTGGGACATCCCGAGAGTTGGTGTGTATTGTCGTACGCAAAGGCTGACGCAGTAGTCTGAAAGAGGCATCTGTGACTGTGTGGGGCTCAAAGAACGGAGATCGATTAGGGTTTAGGGTTAAAACTGAGTATGGCAATAGAAGCATTGTCATGAAAGTATGCGACAGATGCGTATGGGCACTCAGGCATACGGCAGCACAGACAGCACACCGAGTGAACGTAGCAGGGCACGCACGAGAGGTGAACCCTGACCGCAGAGATGTCGTCCATAGGTGATGCAGACTCCGCCCGGGGGGGATTGGATATGTTGATGCGCAGCATATACTGCTGTTAAAAATTGGGTGGCGCAAAGTACAGGATACATCACGGGCTATATATAGTGAAAATAGTGAACACGGGGAGTCACACGCAGCGAACGAGGGGCAAACGACGGATATAGGCAGCAAACATCGCATGCGTAGAACACCCCAGCGAAAGACTGTAGACGGGAATACACGGCACGGGCAGCTACTAACACCTGCGTCTGCAGTCGGGTGCTGATAGTTCTGTGTGTGCATGAGGGCGCTGTTAGTGTTTACGGTGACGACTAGCAGGCCGTCCAGCACACGAAAGAGTACAACAAAGATCATATGGTGTTAGGAAATAGATTGGTGCATACATTGTGTGTTGTCGTGCATGGTTTTTAAACATATATGGACGTATATGTGTACTTGCGTGAAGCTATATGTATACAGATGTATACTTTTTTTTTCTAGGGTGCTTCGTGGTACACTGGTATTTGGGGTTATGTTGTTATTTATATATATGGCATGGCAGCTTTGCTGCGTCGTTTCCAGTGCAGATGAATACTTATTCACTGTACGCCATATACAACAGCTGCATTACTGCGGAGTTACCAAGCGATACATGTGCGTATATATATAGCTCGCACACCCTATGCTAGTCCCTGCATAGATCTGCATAGATTTGTGATGTATGCGTCGCACTGGTTGTGCATGTGTGTACTTCCTCTGCGCTGTTGTTGACTAGTATATCCTACCTCTGTGTCGTTCCTTGCAGGTAAATGCACCGCGAGTCGTGACCTTGTGGCGCAGATCATCACACAGATAGAGGAGCAGTCGCTGGCCAACTACAAGCTGTACGAGCTGCTACGGGAACAATTTGAAGACGCTGAGGCATTCGATACCATCCGCAAAGACAACGAACAACTACACACCCACAACCGCACACTGCGCGAGCAAGTCAACGCGTTTGAGGCCAAGACACGCCACGCCATAGAAGAGCTGCACCGCGTCAGAGAGGTCACCACGGCCGCCGAAAACGGCAAGGAAGGGTATGAGCAGCGCATAGACACTCTGCTGGACGAGAAGGAGACGCTGTACCGACAGGTCAGGAAGCTCACGCAGCAGATCAAGGATGACGCCGACGCCAGAGGCAGGGAACGCGACACGCAGGCCAAGCACGACGCCGATGCACGCGCAATCAAGCACGACAACGCCGATGTCGACACCAAAGGTACGCGTGTGCGTGTGTAGCAAACACGTGCCAATATTCTTGTGTGTATGTGTGTGTACAGAAACGTGTGCGCGGGGACAGCGTGTTTTAATTGCTTGCGTGTGTTTCTATTTACAAGGCTCCCGAAAGTATGTACTCGTGTGTTGCGCATTCGACTGATGCGGACTATATGTGCATTACATTGTGATCTCAATAGCTGGGCTTCATGGCGCAGTATATTCTCGCTGTCAGTATTTCAAGTGTGTATATTCGTGTTGTGTGGATTTCGGCCGTTTTAGGGTTTTAACCCAAAACCCTAAAACGAATGATTGTCATTCAACGGAGCTGTGCAGTATCGAATTTCTGTGGTCAAGACTATGCGTCATACGTACCAGAGAACACAAATCAACACACCACAATACAACATCGACATCAACACATTACATCGCGCAACATACACATAACATGGAAACACATTGGACAAAACAATACAACAAATAAAAGAAATCCCACGACAAAAGAGAAATGCGGTGGGCAAAGAAGTACCCCAAGACACACTGCGGGAAGGCCGCAACTAGCCGTCTACATGACACCGTGCAACACAAGGGAAGGCAATGGCACACCACGCCCGACAGTGCCAACCAAAGCGCACAGACAACACACTACAGCTGCCTGCACATGTGACGAGGCACTTGCGGACATGGTGTTATAGACATGCGGTCAGTAGGCCATCTCAAATGTCTGGGCGGGCGAGTTATGTAGCGACTGGTGCCGCAACATGGCGTCTCGGCAAGCACGTGGTCTCCATTGCACACCACAGTAGTGGCTCTGTGCGACAAGGCACGATACTCTGTGTATTGGGTTTCGAATCAATAGGCCCCTCAACGCACTATAGCACAGCATGGTTGCGTGTGTTTGTGTGGTAGTTGCGCAGTACGACTACACCTCACACGCAAAATAACAACAAGAACAAAAGACAGCCATAATGGACACAGCATATTAATACAGTCCACGGTAAGATCATACCTATGAACAGCAGCACAATACGGCATCGGTTAACTAGTAGCATGACAAAAGGACAGCTGAAGCGTCATTACAGAGTGATGCACAGCAGCAGAAGAGTGTTGTGGTAATGGTTTATGGTTTACACCAGACGAACACGTTGCAAGATAGGGAGACACACTCGCGGACTATCAAATACGCATCCTAGGCAGTTTATATGCGTGTGGATGATAGCTGTCCGCTCTCAGCAGCGTGTGATATCGCTTACGCAAGCATATGGTTGCATTGACAAGTGTTATTAGATGTTCTTTGTAGGGGCTGTCACTTTCTTTTTCGAGGTACACGTGCCCTCTCTGCTTTGCGTATTGGGGATAAGTCTGTTCGGTATCATTAACTCAGTATGGTATGTTTTATTTGAGTAATATTCATGTGTGTGGGTGTGAATCCTTGCCCTCCATAACTATCCCTGTCGATGACTTGATACACTTGTACTCGCTGTATTCAGCTTATCTGTGGTTTTACTTGCGCCACACAGACACGAAGACGGGCAGCGACACTGCTACTCTCGCCTCCGACGAAATGCAGCAGAAATACACAGACGCTCTGCAAGAGAGTGCCAAACGCCTAGCCGAGATAGAACAACTGAGGACAGAACGGTCCAAAATCATGACGGAATTGGACAGGCTGCGGGTGGTGAAAGTACCGGAGAAGCAGATCACGGGCAGTCCCAGGTATCGCGTGGTGCTGGCGCAGTTGGCGGCGGTGTCCAAGCAGCTAACCGATCTCACGCGCACATACGAGCGCGCCCAGACCGAAGTGCAGCAGATGACCACCAACCGACGCACCGACTTTGAAATGGGCGAGGTGTGTGGATCTGCGTATATAATGTGTGAGAGAGGGTGATTCTCATGTTGTGTTGCATTATTTGCTGTTGCTGATATGGTATTTCAAGGATCATGAGTCTTGGTCTTAAAAATTAAATTAAATTTCTTCGCCCCGTAGAACTCACGCACACACAAACAAACCTGACCCATGATACGTAATTGGTTTCTCATGGTGGTTTGTGGATTTTCTCCTGTTTTGTGTTACGTCATTTGTTTCTCATGGTGGTTTGTGTTGGTGCTCCAGATTTGTGTATCATTAGTTTCTCATGGTCTGTGTATTATTATTTTTTGTGGTGGTTCTCCTGTTTTGTGTATTGTTAGTTTCCCATGGTGGTTTGTATTGGTGCTCTAGATTTGTGTATTATTAGTTTCTCATGGTTGTTTGTATAGGTTCTCCTGTTTTTGTGTATTATTAGTTTCTCATGGTTGTTTGTATAGGTTCTCCTGTTTTTGTGTATTATTAGTTTCTCATGGTTGTTTGTAATGGTTCGCCTGTTTTGTGTATTATTAGTTTCTCATGGTTGTTTGTATAGGTTCGCCTGTTTTGTGTATTATTAGTTTCTCATGGTTGTTTGTAATGGTTCGCCTGTTTTGTGTATTATTAGTTTCTCATGGTTGTTTGTAATGGTTCGCCTGTTTTCTGTATTGTTAGTTTCTCATGGGCCGTGCATTATTAGTTTCTCATGGTGGTTTGTGTTGGTTCTCCTGTGGCAGGTTGCGTTGATGGACTTGCGTGAGAAACATGCAAAGGAAATACTCCAGCACGAGCAAGAGATGGCTCTGTGCCGCCAGGAACGCGACAAGTTCAGGAGGAATTGCGAACAGCTGACACACACCAAGCAGGCCGAATTCACCAAGACAGCCACCACAGACCTGATCAAGAGCATGCAGGTGAGTAAGCGCCAACCTGCATAGCAAATGCGTACAAGCAGTCATCTGCATTCGCATTTATGCATCGCGTACATTTGTCGGGAATTTATATCTTGAGTATTTGTTTGTGTGTGTCCGTTGTGAAGGGCTTGCAGGTAGCTTTATGTTGGTTCCGACTGTATTTAATAACTCTTGTGTTGTTAAAAACAACTTTCCGCCCGCGCGTTGGCGGCAACAAGGCGTGGGTGGCCTACGTGACAAATATGTACAACCGTGTAATCAGGAGCGAGCGCCAATGCGACACCCCAATGCCATGCCCAACCGGATGCTGCGTAGCACAGTCTGTTATTGTCAGGGGATATGAAAATAAATCTTTTCGCTGCGAAGATTTGCCATTCAGACCAGTTAATGTTCACTAAAGACATACGTTCTAATGTACGGCATGATTACACGCCACGCGTTAGTATAAGATCTGTATACTTCATCCCTTTTTTAATATTTAATCCCATGTTATCTGTATACTTCATCCCTTATTGTCTTTGTTTTTAATCCCATGTTATCTGTATTTTCCAGTACATGTTTTCTGTATTTTCCATCACTATGTTATCTGAATTTTATTTATCACATGTTGTCTGTATATTTCATCAAATGTTATCTGTTTATTTTAGCAAATATTATCAGTGTATTTTGTCAGATGTTATCTGTATATTTCATCCCATATTTTCTGTATATTTCAATACCCTGTTTTCTGTATATTGCAATCTCGTGTAATATGTATGGTTTATCCCATGTTTGTGTACACTTGCATACCATATTTTCTGACTAACAAGTGTTTGTACTGGACGTGCAGTCTGCCACCAACATAATGATGAGCGACTTACAAAAGACGCGTGAAAGCAAAGAGAAGAAGAATGCCGAATTAGAAGACAAACTCAGCAAACCCACCAGCACCACAAATAGTAATAGTAAAGACCAATCGCGTGCCAGTGGCAGCGCCAGCGCATCATCGCGAGAGATAGAGAAGCTGCAGGAGCAGTTGCGAATAGAAAAGAACAAGGTACATCTACATGCGTACCAGCACTCCAATGGTCTCCCATTGGTGGATTTATGCTTGTGAGTTCCTCGGCGTCTGCGTATATTTGTTGTCTAAAATATCAAGCGTATTTATATTGTAGAAACCTAACTCTAGGTATGTGTAGTGTCACTTATATATCTCTACGCTCATTCTGAATAATTATCATGTTTGCATTGGTGTGTTAGTCCAAACTCGTTTGTATACTCATATGATGTTTTGACTAGATTTTTGTTGGTTTTATAATGAAAAATATGCTCAAATATATAGATATGTCAATGGATATCTGGATTAATGACTGTTTTATTGCATTTATTGCCGCTAGTGTCAGCACTACCCGAATGTATACTTGCGCATGGGCATATATGTGCATGTCTCCGCATGTGTACGGATTACTGGTGTGTAGATGGGTGCACTTGGGTGTGCTGTTTCATTTTGTCGGCGCAGGTATCATATGTGTTGTACAAACAATGGTCCATTTCCATGTGTACCCGTGGGCCAACATATGCGTGTGTACTGTTGTTCATGTTTTGCTATCCTCTGACAATAGTCTATTTCCATGTGGACCCGTGGGCTAACGTATGCGTATGTACTGTTGGTCATGTATTGCTATCCTCTGACAATAGTCCATTTCCATGTGTACCCGTGAGCCAACGTGTGCGATGTACTGTTGTTCATGTATTGCTATCCTCGGGCAATTGTCCATTTCCATGTGTACCCAAGGGACTACGTGTACGTATGTACTGTTGATCATGTATTGCTATCCTCTGACAATAGTCTATTTCCATGTGGACCCGTGGGCTAACGTATGCGTATGTACTGTTGGTCATGTATTGCTATCCTCGGACAATAGTCCACTTTGTACCCGTGGGCCAACGTATGCGTATGTACTGTTGATCATGTATTGCTATCATCTGCCAACAGTCTTCGCCAGACAGCTGTGAAATGTCTCATGATATCTGTCATTTGTCTCTTTCTCATAACATGTGTTCATTGCTTTGTTCTAACAATGCATGTGCTTATTCTCGCCACGTGTGCTTGTATTTTTCTCATGTCATCTGTGCTCTGGTGTACTCTGCCGTGTACTGTAGGTAAACGAAGTAAACACGTTGTTGACTGTCTATAAGTCGACATCTAAACTCAAGGACAGCACGCGCGACGCTCTGGTGGCCGAGCGCAAATTAATAGACCAGGTCAATGATCTCAAGAAACGACTGTACAAATGTAAGGAGGAGGAGAGGGACAGGGGCTCAGGCAAACTCGACAAGGCCACCGAAAAGGCCCTCAAACAGACCATCCAGGACAAGGTACCGTGACTCAACCCTCTGCAAATGCATTAAAGGTGCCCACAAGGCAATAGGCGTGCTCACTCACTCACTCACTTTCAATCAGCAGTACGACTTGGGTATAGCTACGCTACATCAAACATTGTGTATATATTATATGCGACTAGAAGTGGTTGGTCCTCAGAGGCTCGTTTCAAAGAGAGTTACCAGGAAATCTATCTACACATAGTAAAACTGCGATGCACGTGATCATTGGCCATCACTTTGTGTTTTGTTGGTAGGAAGTGAAAACTCAGCTGTTCCCATTCAGAACACCTAAGGCTCCCAACCCGATTGACACCTGCCTATATTTGGATATGTGAAGTCTAATGAATTTTAAGTACGTACAATATGTATTTCTGTGTATGTTCATGTATATATTTGATTTATACATATATCATGTAGCTCTAAGTGTATGTTCATGTAAATGTATATAATTTATACGACATAATGTAGTTTTATGTGAATGTTCATATTATGTATTTGTATGTGTATGTTCATGTGTATATATATAATTTATACGACATCATGTAGTTCTAAGTGTATTTTTTCTAGCAATTAAGCACAACTCTCATATGGCTTTACTTAAAACCATTTACATACTGTACATATTCACTCATATTTTCTTTCGTATCTACGCACAGGATGAAGAAATAACTATTTTCATGAACGAAATGGAATCTATCAGCAAATCCTATTATGAAGTGCAAGAACACAATGTACGATTACTCGAACAAATCACCAATCTGGAAGACAACAACGTAGTGTTGCTATCGTCAATGAACAAAACGGAAGCGGTAAGCCATTCCCAATAACTCTTCATGCGATGCTCTTTGTTATGGGGATGGGATGTATGGACCCTGGATAATACATTACATTCATTGTTAATGCTATTAGCTGTAGCTTGTGTTTATATCTATACATGTCATAATATCCGAGAAGTGTGAGTAGAAGTGTTGAATGATTGTAGTACACCGTTCATATTTATTTGAATGTTGAGTTGTTAAAAAAAACATAAACTGACCAGTTGCCTATACTCAAAACGCTGTACTTGTTTGCATCTTGGCGCTCTCATGCACAGACGTTAACAGATGTGGTAAGGCAAAGTCCAGCACGCCCGAAATTTTTGGCTTCTTTTCCTCCTGCGATTTGTTGTCAGTATTTATTGAAATTTTTATACCCACGTCAACAGGCTGTTTCATTCATTCCTCTCCAATTGATCCTGATTTTTATCGGTTTTGGATTTCTTTTCGTCGGCAGAGTGTCAAGTTACTGAACGAAGCGAAGAGCGAAGCCGACAACAAGGCTCTCCAACTCAAACACACCGTGGACACGTCGCACGCATTAGTCAGCGCACTCGAGGAACGAATCAAGGTATGACTACGTGCGTAGTGCCCCAGCAATTACCGTTTTTATATTTATTGTATGTATGTATGTAGGAATTTTTTAGCTGGAATATGTATATTGCGTAGTGGTTGCATTCAAAGTGTCAAGGTCGAGTGTGTGATTGTCATATTACTGTAGAACACGAAAGCCAACAATATCCAATTCGTAACCCTCTGCAGAGCATGAAAGACCAAATAACAATATTAGAGAAGGACTCGTGGACCAAACAACAGGCCCTGGACATCCACAAGAAGAAGTCCGTTGAGGCGCTGCAAGCGGAGTGCGAAGTCAAGCTGCTCCTCGCCCAGGTAGGTGTTGTGTGCACAGATTAAAGAGTACCTCTACCTTTACATATATAATTTTGCATCTTGTAGGGGCTAGTGGCATCCCTGTGTGTGACTATGTAAGTAAGCGCAAAGGGAATCACACTTATACTCATGCTGGATGCTTTGTTGTGTTATCAATTGATTTAAGTTCTTATACTAATTTGGTGTCTGCCTTCACGTCCCTCTTGTTGCAGGAGAAAGCACGCGCCGACGAATTAGATAAACTCGTTCAGACCAAGAATGAGGAAATACAGACCATCGAGCATCAAAAGAACCGCCTCCAGGTATGTTCGCAATGACGTTGTAGCGTACAACGCAATGGACAACCAAGTCTACGTCGCTACTTTCGCTTTGATTTGGTTTACAGTTCATTTGCGTGCGGAATGTATAGGCCTGCACCTGTGACCTGCGTTGATTTAGGGTTTATAGGCCTGCGCTTGTGATTTGCGTTGAAAGGATGTCCTGACACGCCAATGTATAGGCCTGTGCCTGTGACTTGCGTTGAAAGGATGTCCTGACACGACACGCCGGCACGTGGTCTTGAGCAACTTTTGCTCTTTTCCCATGACTCAATCCTTCAAGGGTCGATGCACGAGATTTTGGTGCTTATGCAGTACTTCCAGTGTTGATTTTTATTTTGTCTTTGAATCGCATATCTCTGGAATTTGTATGACTATGCATACCGTGAAAACGTTTAACAGTTTTTGAGCCATTCCTTGAGTCCTGTTTATTAAAACTTTGTACTGGCATTGTGTAGGAGAAAAAGAATAAGCTGGAGAAGCAGTTAAATCGAACCGGACCAAATGGAGAATCCGATGAAGTTAGCGAAAGAGATGTCCTCGAGGAAGAGATTAAGTCTTTGAAGGTATGTGTAGAACACGTATCACACTGCCCTCATCTCCACAAGGTCCATCGGCCGTGGCATTCCACTGCATATATAGTTGTGACGTAGTTAACAACCTTTCCACGGAATGTCATTTAATCAGTGTCACGTGATATGTAGTCACTCGTCTGAGTTGTCTGTAAAGGCTGGTTTGAGTAGGTGAGATTATTCAGTATGATGGGCAACGTGGTACTCTGATGTCCAACATTGACTCAGTGGGCGTAGAACAGGCACTTGCAGTCTGGAAAACAGGCACACGCATTTGCCGCCACTTGAAGCCTAGGAATTTCTGTTGCGGGCTGTGTGAAGATCGGGTGTGGCGTTGGTGTTCTTTCTGCGGAGGATGTGTCAGATTGCTTCTTCTTTTGTGCAAACGAACATACAATTTGTGCTTGTACAAGGATTCCTGAACTCTCCCCTGAGCTGTGTGTCAAATTCTGGTAGAGTCGTTGGCTATTGATGAGGGCATTTGGATTGATATTTGTATTATAAAATATGGTATGTTATTGCCCGTTGGTCACCGCGACGTATCAACGACTACAGCGCAACCTCTTTTTTGCCCTTAGAACTAATGCAATGATGTACTTCTTATCTGCAGGAGTTGGTTATGTGCACACTTTGCAAGAGGAGGAAAAAGAACACCATGCTAACCAAGTGCCAACATGTGTTCTGCAATGTTTGTATCACGGTAAGTAGACCCTTTGTTCCTGCTACGCTTAGCCACTATCTTTTGCTTATCGAGTCTTTTATGACACAGTTGTCGTTGCTTTATCTTCCCCGTACTTTAAAATATTGTTGTTATTGGAATCGATTTTAGCGTTTTAGGGAAATAGTGACTTTTCGATTCGTATCGCGAGTACCCGTCTGATATCGGGTTTGATTTATGTATTGTAGTACTATTTCAACAATCAGTTTGTTGCATGGCTTTCTGCTACGGTCAGATGTTTTAGGGTTTTGTACTTGAATGAAAGTATTTGATTATAAATTTCGTCTCTCACCTTTGTGGCTGCATCTCCCCAGGTAAAACTATCTGTTTCTACATTTTTGGTTGTTTTTTAATCACTTCTTGCGTATCAATATCGGTATCGACGACTCACGAGTCTTCCCGTTCAAAATGCATACTCATCGCAGTCTGCAAGCACAAGTCGCATGAATATTGGATTGGTAATGTTTATTGAACGGCACTCGTGATGGTCATGCGTTGAGTGAAACGTGACATGATCGCCATTGATTTCTCGCACTTTGAATCGGTTTTAACTATCGTATCCGTAGTTTTTATTATTATTTAATGTTTACTTGCTCATTCTTCTGCAGGATCGGTACGAGTCTCGTCAAAGGAAGTGTCCGAACTGCCTGGACCCTTTTGGCGCCAAGGACATCACCAGCATGTATTTGTTCTAGTTTACAGCCACTCCGTAAAAGTAGCGATGTACTCGTCGAGCTCGTGCGAATTCCCGCCATCGGTCATGGTTATGAGCTCTCCAGAAGAGATTTATACCAATTGCTAACGTCTGAATCAAGGCATATATAAAGTCAGTCAAAGCGATTGTAAGCACATTACCCAAAGTAGTGTAGTGTAGACTTTCAACTGCAATATATCGAATACTGTTGTTGAAAAAAAAATGTGGCTCATCGATAATCAATTTGCAGTAACTGCAACCAGAGCGTTAAAATGATCATCACACACAACATTCATGCTGCGCTCCAGATAGGTAAAGGGACATATGGATCATATATACGGATACATATAGCACGATACGCATCATTAACAAATACCTGTATATATCTATGTACCTTTGTATATCTATATATCCATGTACCTTCTAGCTCAAATTCAGCATATGAAAGTAAAATCAAACTGAAGGACACCGACATAGATATCTACAATATTTAGGATCCTCTCAGTCGAGGTCACCTTGCGGGGCACTACTAACACTTGCAGCTATTCATTTTGGCTGTGGAATAGTAATATCGAGATGAGTATGTCAGTAAGGGGTACTGAATTGCAAGTGATCGATTTCTTATTGATCGAGGAAAAAAGACAATTGCCGTAAACTATTATATATATATATATATATATATATATATATATATAGCCTATATTAATAGTGAAAAAATAAACGCTTTTTATGTTTTATCCATCTATTTTATCATGCTAGACGAATTAAGCAGGTACAATGGGACCAATTCATCTGTTGGAACCATAACCGTAGCAAGGATTTCAGACTGGGAAGTTAGGCGCTACAGAACATGCAAAACACGATAGCCGCTCGCCAAATGTACGTATTAGACTGTTTTACGACTCTAGAAGTACTCCTTTAAACATAACAATTTAGTCGTACAATGAAGCATAGACCTGTATATCACGTATTAGTGGCCCGTGGCGCAAAATTTGTCACCCGATGGCCATTGAAAGCTCATTGAATCCACGTTGGGTGACGTAAAACATGATAACTGCTCACTAAATGTATGTATTAGTCTATGCTAAGGCTCTGGACGTACTTGAACACAGTACCTTAGTCGTACAATAAAATATATACTTGTATAACTCGTATTAGTGGTACGTGACGCAACACTGGTCATCAGATGGTCAAAGTTCATTGAATTCACATTCAGTGGATGATCCAATTACAGCCTGCTCCTAATAAATGTTTTCTCGCCTTAGTTTGCAGTAAGATTGCTTCGATTTGATCCTATCATTGTCAGGAAAGTCGTCGAGGCGACTACCATCGTCTATTGCATATTTAGCTTCCAGTACTGTAATAACCGACTGCTGTTTCATCGCTACATCTTCCTGTAACGTGTTCATAATACTGTCATTTTACGGGCATTCTTCCCAGCGGGAGAATCATAAGCCTCGCCTCTACCTATTGCTTCTGCTTCTGCTAATCTCTCCTTATTTTCTTTCGCGATATCTCTTTTGCGTGTAGACTCCGCACTTTTCTTTATTTTCATTTCTCCAAGGAAAGAATAGCAATCTGGATACATTAACTTCACCTGGATGAGCATGAATTCCGGCTGCATCTTGATAAAACAGCATGTGAAGATATCAAAGTATTCGCAGATCTTTTAGCAGTAGCAAGCATATCAGCCCGATGTCTTGCACCGGTGTAACGCCTTCTCTCCGCGTTTCTCGGTTATAGTTGCGTGGACCTTAGATGATGTACAGTTTGGATTGTTTCAAAACATTCACCAGGGACAGTCGAGTCGATTCATCATCTGGATCACCGGGGCCGTACCCTACGAGCTCTTCTGCTGTCACACCTTTATTATAGTCTAGATCAAACCCAAGATTAACTTGAAATTCAGCGGCAAATATTCAGATCCCATTTTCAACTCGAAATCATGGTCATTTATTTCACCGGTACCTTCTTCTGGTTCAAGTCTGTAATCCTGTCGAATATTGCCCTCTACTATGTTATCTCTCATTAAATCGCGCTCTAAAACTTCTCCTGAATCTTCGCTTGAAATAGATTCCCTCTCTTCAGCTGTTGTTGGTTATTGCCAAGAGCATCTTCAAAAATTTAGAGACCTATTTAGCCTACTTTATCAACAAAAACAGTTGTATAGTCTTTCTGCATCATCTGCACCGGCATTCCTTCTGGTCAATACACAATCGTTTCATCTGGGCCTATCCCTAACATCTTTACTCCCCACGATATTAGACTTATATTGTCGTCAAATAGAATGAATTTGATGGCAGTTTCTAGGTCTGACACACAGAACCTGGCCCTACTGTGCTTAACAACTCTCAGTCCTTTCCCCTTAGTCATTTAATACTTTGAAGTCATCATAGGCTACGTTTTCGGCGTACCAGACAAAGTTATATCGTTATTCCGCTTCTTAACATCTATCTTCGTCTGAGATGGTCCCTTGACTAAGATTGCCCATGGTGTGCATATCTTCAGCGAGTTCTTTGGAGCTTTGTCGTATACTTCTACAGCAGTTTCTATTACTTTAGAGTTATCTGACCTTATTACAACAGGTGTATTTAGGGGTTTCTTCCTACATAAGTGATCTGGGAACCGCTGGGTATACGATCGTGGACAAGCGGTTAAATGTTTTAGACGCGAATTGACTCATACATCCCCAATCATGAATATGTGCTGTTGACAGCTTTTTATTTTTGGAAGGTATTTCCACACTAGGTAACGCCTACCTTTAATTTCTACGCCATCCAAACGCACGCGGCGCATCCGATATCGTATTAATACGACTATTGTCTGTTGTATTCATGTTACTATTGCACTACTTTCCGAGTGAGTGTGTCATTTAGATTAGGTGTTGGAACGATGAGTAGGAGTTTTCAATGTACGTATATTCTCCGTAATATCCACTAGCGATCTTTTGGCCGATGCACGACTCGAAGATGCTCGCTCTACCTCACCTATAACCCTCGGCTCTCGCTGATGTTCTCGCGTCAATCTACCAGCAACAACACCACCACAGTCACACTTACACTGTATACACGCATTATCACACGTTGCGCATCGCCCATGCCAATGATTGCTCGTAAGTGACCTTTGGCATGAACCCACAACTAACCGATCTTCAACCAAAACAAAAATTCTAAATGCAATGGTCACCTAATGATAAAAACACCATTCCCGGACATGGTCACACGTAATAGATGGATGCTATGGTACCATAGGTTTCTAGAATGGTAATAGACACTTCATAATATATAGTTCATATTAACTTTAGAAGCTTATCCTAAGCTTAAATCATGTCATAATCGTGGTTTAGCACCTACTCCAGACGGCCGAGGATGGTTTATAAACAACAATTGCTCGCAGATACTAGCTCAAGACGTTCCAAGTGTTAAAATAAGCTTTGGCCAAATACCAAATTTGATTCATTCGACCCTGTCCCAAGATTTTGTCCCTGTTGACGTGACTTTTTAGCTATAAAAAAATCTCGAATTTGATTTCGTTGCCGCCAATTGATGACTGGCTTTACAAATCTTACTGCTCATACTCAAAAGGCGGTGCCAAAACAATCGTTAATTCTGCTGCAAATGATCCAAGAGCGAAGTAGGAAGAAGGACCAACTATTTTTTTGATATACCAACATATCGGGGCTGTCAAATACGCTATACTTAGGGGTCTTCTTTAGATTTTGTGTCAGTTGCACGATGCACAGGTTTTCATACGCTTGAATCTATGTTTTCAGGTCCTGACCCATTGAGTATATGTAATCGTTGGATTCTTCGAAATTTACCATTTAGTTAGAATACAAGCAGCAACCATAGAATTATTGTTAAGTAGGTTCGCCATTCAATTCATTTCTAAGTCAGATCGCTCGTCTGTTTGCATGCATAGGTCTTATTGAAAAATATGTATATGGCTGGATGGTGAATAAAAACTTTCAACGTATACACGTAAAAAATACTATACATAATACAACCAAGACATGTTTGTAGAGAAGGTTGCATAGGTGTTCCACTCCGTATTCCCTACAATAAAATCACGTGTCTGTATTTGTGTACCTATTATATTTGTTTAGGTGCTATCACACTTGAGTTTTCAAATATGAATGGATACGCGCCTTGC